CCTCTCAGTGGCAGGCAGCTATGGATGCAGAGATGGCTTCCTGGAAGTCCACAGGCACCTACGTTGACGCGGTTCCCCCTCCTGGGGCGAACATCGTCAGTGGCATGTGGATCTTCAGGGTGAAGCGGCCGCCGGGCTCTCCACCTGTCTTCAAGGCACGGTACGTTGCTCGTGGCTTCAGTCAGCGGCAGGGAGTTGACTACTTTCAGACCTTCTCTCCCACCCCGAAGATGACTACTCTTCGGGTGCTGCTGCACATAGCCGCTCAGCGCGACTACGAGCTTCACTCTCTCGACTTCAGCACTGCGTTCTTGCAGGGTAGCCTGCACGAGGAGATCTGGCTTCGCCGTCCACCTGGCTTCACTGGGACTTTCCCTCCTGGCACCCAGTGGAGCCTCCGACGGCCAGTCTACGGTCTCCGCCAGGCACCGCGTGAGTGGCACGACACACTGAGGACTACGCTTGCGGCTCTTGGGTTTGCTCCTTCTACTGCTGACCCGTCGCTGTTTCTTCGCACCGACACTTCCCTGCCGCCGTTCTACATCCTCGTGTACGTCGACGACCTGGTCTTTGCCACAGCGGACACTGCTGGACTCGCCTACGTGAAGTCCGAGCTGTTGAAGAGACACACGTGCACAGACCTGGGTGAACTGCGCAGCTACCTTGGCTTGCAGATCACTCGGGACAGAGCACGCCGCACCATTACCTTGACTCAGTCACACATGGTGCAGCAGGTCCTTCAGCGCTTCGGCTTCACGTACTCCTCGCCTCAGGCCACTCCTCTGCCTACTCGCCACTCACTCTCAGCTCTGCCTTCGGATGAGTCCGTAGAGTCGAGTGGTCCGTATGCGGAGCTTGTTGGCTGCCTCATGTACCTGATGACCTGCACACGACCTGACCTTGCATACCCTCTGAGCATTCTTGCACGCTATGTTGCTCCTGGGAGACACAGACCGGAGCACATGGCTGCAGCGAAGAGGGTATTGCGCTACCTGTGCAGTACGTCAGGCATGGGGCTAGTGCTTGGAGGGCGGAGTCCAGTGGTCCTTACCGGCCACGCGGACGCGTCTTGGGCTGACGACCAGGCTACGCAGCGGTCGTCACAGGGTTACACCTTCAGCCTTGGTTCCGGCTCTGTCTCGTGGCGGTCTACTCGCTCGTCTTCGGTTCTCGGCTCCAGTTGTGAGGCTGAGATCTACGCCGGGGCCATGGCTGCACAGGAGCTTCGCTGGCTCACCTACCTGCTGACTGACCTTGGAGAGCCGCCTCGTTCTCCTCCAGTGCTGTACGTAGACAACAAGGCTATGCTGGCCTTGTGTCGAGAGCAGCGCTTGGAGCACAGAACGAAGCACATTGCTCTCCGCTACTTCCTTGCTCGTGAGCTGCAGCAGCGTGGTCAGTTGCGACTTGCGTACGTGGCCTCTGAGGCCAACACTGCTGATGTGTTCACCAAGGCACTTGCGCCTTGTGACCATCAGCGCTTCTGCACCCAGCTGGGTCTTGTGCCTGTCTTGCCTCACTTGCTCTCCTCTTGACTTCACTTGTACTGTGACATATATATATATACCTGCTCTTGCTTGTCTAGCTTTATATATATGTCTGTACTCTTGCTTGTGAACTGGCCTTTGGCCTCGCTCTTGTGCTCGGACTGTGTGGTGACTTTGTGATCCACCCTGAGCTTTGCTTTGTCTTGCTTGACTGGTCTTGTGACCCCTTGTTCTCCCCCACTTTGCCTATGGGGGTGTGTCAGAACATATATATAGCTTATACTGCTGTGTAGGCTGTAGTGGGGTATCCCATAGGGGGTACAACCCAGTTAGGGTTTCATATTTGTACTGCTTTCATTCATAGTTCATTCATTCCTGTTTTCCTACTATCACAAAGCCTGCATGCATAAAGGCACGTATGCTGCTTTGCGGGCGCGCAAACGGGCGGGCGCGCAAACGGGCGGGCGCACGGGCGGGCGCGGGAGCGGGCGGGCGGGTGGACGTGGGGGCGGGCAGGCTAGCGCAAGCGCGAGCGGGCGGGCAGGCGGGTGGACGGGCGTGGGGCTGGCGGGCGGCCGCACAAGCGGGCGTGCGGGCGGGAGACCTAAATACTTATTAATTACATCTTTAAATATATGGCTCCTAAACGTTCTTTGTTCAGAAGTCCTGCATGCTCGATTTCCAATCAATTCTGGGGGGTCTTGGCGTACTGATCCGCATTTAGAAAAGCCATTCTATCCCAGTGGTTTAGTGGCTGAGATTCTAACATGGTATCAGAGCAAAGGTATCGGGTTCGAATCCTCATGTACGGACATGCTGCCAAATGGGTTGTGCCATATCCTAGGCTTCCTTGTGTGGAGGGGTGCCTGAAGACTTGCATGCGGGATCCCCGACTTATCCTAGGGGGGTTACATACATGTTAGCAAGAGGGGGGTTATAGGCATATTGACCCGCATTTGGAACAAGTCATTTTACCCCATTCTTTGTTTACAATATTCCACTGTATATGATTTTATATTCAATGTGTACAAAGGTTTCTAGAATATGCAAAAAGGGCTACTAAAGATATGTTTAAAAGGCAGAAACATGTTCTCAAAAGAAAGGAAAAGGGTGAGTGAAAGAAGATAAGACGGGACAAAATGACAGTGCTTGTTTGGTCTGATGACATGGTGAGGTGGTGGACCGCCTAGAGACGGTTTGCGAAACCTGCTAGGAAGGTGGACCGGGGGGGAACAAGGTGGGGCAGGTCGTCACAAAGGGCAGCTAGAGCGCGAGCAGCCTGTGGGTGTAGGCGGTCAAGTGTGTCAGTGGCTATGAAGGGACGGAGGAAGCAGTTAGTCTCGATACAACAGTTGTTGGCTAACACTTGGATTGCTTATGCCCAACTGCAGACATAACTGAGTGAATCATGCTTTCGTGCGCTCTGAATGCTGAGCCCTCCTAATCTGATCGGGAGGAAAGCCTGTAGCCTTGCTAACTATCCCTCGGCGGTGTCAAGATCCCAAACGTCTAGCGGAAAGAGAGAGATCAGCATGTCCAAAGTATGATTGTCCTAGTCACTGTACTGTTCTACAACGTCCTCAGTCGGGGAACCTGTGCGGAGAAGGTAAGAGGGTTTCGCTGAGAGACAAACGGCCAGTAGGTGCGCAGCAACTTGCGGGTTTCTAGGCGGGGGAGCCACGGGGATGCAGCTCTAAGGGAGGCCAGCCATTTGCGCAGTTCAGCGGTGATTAAATCTGGCTCGCCTACAGGAACCCGTGCAACTACAATGTTCTTGTCCTAGAGAGCGATTCCCAGAGGTAGTTAAATCGGGTCCGGCAATCCCTGCGGGGGCATTTTGCGAGCTGCACACTGAGACCGAGCTCTGCAAATTGCTACTGCAGGGCGGTGAAGACTGCTACAAGGTGGTGTGGGGGTCCTAGGAGATATGAGTCATCGGTGTATGATGTGCACAGGATATCGGGGAAGGCGTTGCGGATGGCGCGATTGGCTAGCTGCTGCGTGATTGCATAGAGGAAAGGACCGCAGGGATCCCCCTCTTACCCCTCGCTGTGGCTGAAGTGTGTGAAGCTGTGGGCCTGAGTGGAAGAGGAGAGGTGAGGGACTAGAGTAGAAAAGTCAGAAGAGTGGGATGAGGCACGAGAAATCTGAAGATTGAAGGGCAGTGAACATGGCTGCACAGTGAAATGAACTGCATTTGCAACATCGATGTTCAAGACAGCCCTGTCAGGATGAAGCTCAAGGGAGGATCGAATGCCAAAGAACAGGGAACTAATACCCGCATAGACTTCGACCCCTAGCTCCAGATCAGGAAGAAATTGGGACTGCATTTGCTCTTTGAACATCAAAGCGACGCAACAAGAAAGGAGACGAACGAGCACTTCACCGATTGCGATAGGGCGGGCGTCTGCGTTAGACTTCTTGAGCGCAATGAGGCTTGATGCTGTTAGGAAGGGTGTGAAGTGTGAAGAAGCTTTGACCAACCGATTGAGGAGCTTTGCCCGCGCCCGCAATAAGTTGCATTCGATGTTGCGAAAGGACATCGTTCCCTTCATATGATTTTGAACCAATCTCTGCCGATTCTCCTCATCCGAATACGGGGACATCTTCGAAATGCTCCTTGCAATGTCACCTTGCTATGCTGTTGCCACATTATCAGATTGCGGTCTTGTGCGGTCGCTCGCCCCACGTTGCGGGTATGGCAATGCAATCAAGGGCCATAGTCTGTAGCCCCTTGAGGTCCGACTTACGACGCTAATACGCTAGCGGACAAATCCCGAAAAGCTCCATCTCCTCATCAATGTAAATCTGCACCTCATCTCCACCCCTATTTCTACCAATTTCCCCCTATTGCTACTATTACCTCCTGATCCTTTCCCCCCATTCTGCTTCCTCCACCACTAGCCCCCTTTCTCCACTCTTGCTTCTCCCAAGCCGCCACCACCTTCACCTTGTACGATCCCAACTTCGCTCGTACCAATGCCATCACCTTGGCAGCTACAACGTGATGTATTCCTTGTGTCTCACACCCCTCTTAATCCCCGTCCCCCCATCTCGAGTACCCAATCTTGAGCTCGGGTCAAGAAATGTGGCCACCCACAACTCATTACTACTGCCGGAATAATACTCCAGCAGCTTCCTCATGGCCACTTTAATGCACCCCTTTCATGTTCTCTGATGGGGAGGAAAGACACACTGTCTCTGAGACTTTTTAGGTTGTCCAACAATTTGTTAAACTGTGGAACCACCTTGGAGATGGTAAGGTATGTGGAATCTTCAGCCGGCAGGCTGACGGTGTGGAATGGTTGAAGGAAGCCAGCAAGCTCATCCAAGGCCATCCACATCTTCGGTGAGATGGGGAGGGCCTGGAGGTGCGTGGCATCCTTGGCAGACATGGTTGCCTGTTGGGGCAGATTGGTGTACGAAAAATAGACGGCATTGATGTGAAAACGAGGAGATTGGGTTCCCCAAAACCGGCGATAAACATTAAATGGGGATGATACCGCAGACACCATGCCCCATCCCATCCATCTACTTGCTTGCAGGGGCTTTGCGGCAGAAGGTGGCGATGGCATGTCGAAGACGAATGGCGTGCTCGAGCATGAGGCAGGTCGAGCCCCACAGCACCCCATTGTTCTACCGAAGACGCAACACCTTTGCAGTCTCGTCCTCATTCTTCTGGATCTTCTCAAACAGCGCCATCCTCTTGGGCGAGAACCCAATGAAAGACACAAGATCTTTAATGATCCCCACCGGTTCCTTAATGTCGAGCACTTTCTTCAACCCTAGCCAGATAGCTAGGTTGCGGATGTGGGACATGTACCTGGTGAGGTGGAAGGGTCACACGAATGAAAGAGAAGACACACAAGACGAGTGTATATGGTTCCATGTATGACCCATTACTAGACTGTGTACTACGCATGGAGCATCACAAGGGATATGATTGAGACTATCTTCCAAATGGAGAAGGCATGCTGCTAACCAATCAACACGTACCATAAAATACAAGTAACAATGGATTTGTTTCCTAGTGTGTGAGGTCAACCAACCAACATACCACACGTTTATGTACGAGAATAACAAGGGCAGCTAACAGTCGACCGGCCCACCACGGCAGAGGTATTCCATCGCTGCGACTTGGCCGAAGCGCTGTGCGTTGTCACTGCAATACAGCAATGCTCCAAGCTCCATCCTTCACCACCTCGAGCAACACCTCAACGATCTTTCGGCTTGTGTGATCGCCAGGAATAGCACGGAAGTCGAGGGTTATCTGCCTCAGTTTAAAATTGGGGGTGAGGCAGTGCCCCGTCACTACCATATAAGACTGGTGGTTCACACCAGTCCATATGTCATGGATCAGCACAATAGCCCTTACCCCTTCAGCAGCAAGCTGCTCCTTAAGCTTGATTCTCGCCAGCACTGCCAAGTGGATGATCTGGCGGGCTAGGGTGGTGCGTGAGGGAATGACTCGTTCGACAGCACACTCAGGGTTGGAGGCGGTCATGAGATTGCGAAACTGTGCTTGATTAGGGGCAGGGTATGAAGAAGTGGAACATTACTTTGCTTATTACGGCTGGACTGGTTTAGAACAGCCAGCTTCACGACCAGCCTGTGTTTGCAAAGTAGCAACCCATCTACTGTTGTTGTGGTGGTGTACCAAACGAGTGGTTTTCGAGTGGTTGTATGGTGGGCTCACCTTCAAGTGCTCCACCACGGTGAATGTCTAGACGGTGGCGACGACCCACTCGCACAAAGCCTATTGCAGAAAGTCCTTGTCGAAGCGCGTGGGGTAGAAATTGGTGATCTGCTACTTCCCCATCCTCGCCAGCACACCCTCAGTGGGTGTTGTCAGAATATATTTGCTGTCTAGCCTGCAGTGGGGTACTCTGTAATGAGTACAACCCAATTTAGGGCATTGTACTTGTATCCCAACTCTTGCTAGTGAAACCCCTTCTCTTTCAAAAAAAAAATCTCTCGATACTTTCCTAACCCTCTCGAACTCGATCACCTAGGCACCTACACTATGGCTTCTAAGCCTACCCTTGCTTAAGATTCTAAGATGGTATTAGAGCTTAACGCTCCTGGCCTGTGGGCCCACTCGATTCCGCTGCCCTATTGTGTGTCGTGCGCCCCGTGGCGCACGACCACCTTTTTTTCTTCCCGCCACGCGCTCGGGGCGCGTGGCGGTTTTCTGCCCGCCGTGCGCCCCGAAGCGCGCGGCGGGTACCTACCTCGTCGCGGCGTCTTGGGAGCCCGCGCGCTGGCCCCGACCGTCGCCTCGTCGCGGCGTTTTGGGGGCCCGCACGCAGGTCCCTCCCGTCGCCTCGTCGCGGCACTTTCTGGGCTCGCGAGCCGGCCCCTCCCGTTGCCTCGTCGCGGCGCCTTAGGGGCCTGCGCGCGGTCCCCTCTCGTCGCCCGTCGCGGCACTTTCGGGGACCTGCGCGGCTCCCTAGCACGTCACCCTTCAGGGCACAATGGGGGCCGTGCCCTTCCCCTCCCCTCCGTCCTACTTTCCGCTGCAGCAGCCCCAGCAGCTGCAGCCCCTGAAACGGCCACCGCAGCAGCAGCAGCTCCAGGAGCCGCCGCCCCAGCAGCAGCCCCTGGGGCCGCCCCAGTAGCAGCAGCCCCGGGAGCAGCCGCCCCAGCAGCTGCTGCCTCTGGAGCGGCCACCCCAGCAGCAGCAGCTTGTGGAGCAGCCGCCCCACCAGCAGCCCCGGGAGCAGCCGCCCCGACAGCAGCTGCCTCTGGAGCGGCCACCCCAGCAGCAATTGCCTCTGGAGCGGCCACCCCAGCAGCAGCAGCCCCTGGAGCCGCCCCAGCAGCAACTCCCTCTGGAGCGGCCACCCCAGCAGCAGCAGCCCCTGGAGCCGCCCCAGCAGCAGCAGCCCAGGGAGCAGCCGCCCCAGCCGCAGCCCCTGGAGGAGCCACCGCAGCAGCAGCAGCCCCAGGAGCAGCAGCCCCTGGAGCAGCAGCAGCAGCGGTAGCCCTGGGAGCAGCTGCCCCAGCAGCAGCCCCTGGAGCCGCCCCAGCAGCAGCAGCCCCGGGAGCAGCTGCCCCAGCAGCAGCAGCCCCGGGACCAGCCGCCCCAGCCGCAGCCACTGGAGCAGCCGCCCCAGCAGCAGCCGCCTCTGGGGCGGCCACCCAAGCTGCAGCAGCCCGTGGAGCAGCATCAGCCGCCCCAGCAGCAGCCCCTGGAGGAGCCACCGCAGCAGCAGCAGCAGCTCCAGGAGCAGCCGCCCCAGCATCAGCCCCTGGAGCCGCCTCAGCAGCAGCCCCTGGAGCAGCAGCCCCAGCAGCAGCAGCCACTGGAGCAGCCGCACCAACAGCAGCCGCCCCTGGCCCCTGCAGCAGCCGCTCATGGACTAGGTGCAGCCGTGGGGGGTGAGTGTGGGGGTGCTCGTTGTGGGGGTGTCGGTTGTGCGTGCCGTCCCCTCCTCCTCCTCCTCCTTCGTCTCCCACTGCTACAGCTCTCGCTGAGGGGGGTGGTTGTGTGGGAGTCTTGGGTTTAGGGTTTAAGGGGGGTGGGTGGGAGTGGAGCTAGCGGTATAGCAGCGGGTGTGTGTCGGGGGGGTGGGACTGTTTGCGGGAGGTTGAGTGGAGGCTGCCAGCTTGTTGTCCGCAGCACCTGTAGTCCGGGCGCTTAGTCCGGTAGCCCAGTGAGCGTGTCGTTTCGTCAGTCGCCTGTGGGTCCGTTGCCTGTCTGCCGCTACTTGAGCCGCGGGGCCTGTTACTCCTGTAGTCCGGGCGCTTAGTCCGGTAGCCACTGTGCTCGCCACTCCTGTTGCCCGTGTGTCTGCAGCTTCAGCCGCCGCCTTCTATCTCCTCTCCTCTCACTCTCCCTCCTCCTCCTCACTTGCCCGTTGTGACCACCACTAGCTTTGCTGATAATTGTGCACTTTAACTATTGCTTCTTGAACTTTTGCTCAGAATGCGTGGTGACATTGTGATCCACCCTGAGCTTGTACTGCTTTGCCTGCTCTGCTGATTACACCCCACTTTGGCTATGGGGGTGTGTCAGAATATATTTGCTGTCTAGCCTGCAGTGGGGTACTCTGTAATGAGTACAACCCAATTTAGGGCATTGTACTTGTATCCCAACTCTTGCTAGTGAAACCCCTTCTCTTTCAAAAAAAAAATCTCTCGATACTTTCCTAACCCTCTCGAACTCGATCACCTAGGCACCTACACTATGGCTTCTAAGCCTACCCTTGCTTAAGATTCTAAGAGGTGTCACTGGCCATGTGGCCGAACCTGACCATTATAAGCCCCCGTCCGGAACCTCACCCTCCACTCCATACCCCCCCGCAGGGAATTAGTCGTTTGGGCCCACCTCGTTATTATGAAACTTTTGCAACCATATGGTAAACTTGTTAATACGCGCCCCTTTCATGTGAACCCTGCCGGCCTTGTAGTTGCCTTTGGCAAAGGAGATCTGCTTATTGCACATACAACACCGACACTTCTCCTAGAATTATCTCAAACTACTGGTGATGTATCACGTTAAGGCGACGGTAGTGGGAAGGGCAACAGTAGCATTAGAGTGTGTAGAAGGGGTGCCTAAATCATTGCCAGTAAATAGCGAAATGATTGCATTGAGCAGCATAAGTGATACAAATGCTAACCCTAAAAGGGTTGTACCTCATACAGGATACCTCACTACAGCTTAGAACAACTAATATATCTAATTTGACACACAGCCAAAGACCAAGTGAGGGATAGAAAGAGAGAGTAAGAACCACAAATGGTCACAAGACCAGTCGAGAGGAGCAACAAAGCAAAGCTCAGGGTGGATCTCAAGATCACCACAGAGTTTGAGCATAAGCAAGTGACCCCAAGGCTAGTTCACATGGAGTGTTATACTGACAAAACCAGTAATGCATTGATCACAACCTCGCAAGTGTACACATGCAGGTATAGACATAAATCAAAGTACAGCAAGTACAAGGCAACGTCAAGAGGAAAGGAAGTAAGGCAGAGTAGGCGCAAGGCCAAGAGCAGTACAGAAACGCTGATGATCACCAGACCCAAGGGCCTCGGTGAAAACATCAGCGGTGTTGGCCTTAGGGACCACGTAATGAAGGCGAAGCTGACCACGCTGCTGCAACCCTCGCACAAGAAAGTAACAAAGGGCAATGTGATTCGTTTTGTCATAACGAAAGCAGAATGAGGTGCACTAGGAAGAATGTGGGTACATACACGAAACCCTAGAATTGATATACCCCCTATAGCTATCTTCAATATAGCCTAAAATATCTAAACACGTAAGTATATACATATATCATAGTACAAGGCGAATTCAAGAGGTAAGCAAGTGAGGCAAAGAAGGCGCAAGGCCTAGAGAAGTGCAAAAATGCTGATGATCGCCAGACCCAAGGGCCTTGGTGAAGATATCAACAGTGTTGGCCTCTGAGGCCAAGTAAGAAAAACAAAGCTAACCACACTGCTGCAACTCTCGCACAAGAAGGAACAAAGTGCAATATGCTTCGTTCTCTGCTCCTAACACAAGGCCATGATGGCCTTGTTGTCGACATACATAAACGGAGGAGAACGTGGCCTCTCACCCAAGTCAGTCTGCAAGTAGGTCGACTAGAGTAACTCCTGCGCAGCCATAGCACAAGCGTAGATCTCGGCCTCACAGCTCGAGCTAAGCCCAGAAGACGAGCGAGTTGACCTCCACGAGACAGAGCCGGTGCCAAGACTGAAAGTGTAGCCCTGTGAAGACTGCTGAGTAGCTAGGTCCTCGGCCCACAAAGCGTCTGAGTGACCAATGAGCACAAATGAACCCTTTCCCCCAAGCACAAGCCAAAAGCCTGATGTACTGGCCAATCAACGTAGTACCCTCCTAGCAGCCCGCCCAGTGCTCTGGACGGTGTCTCCGGGGCACAACATAGCGCGCCAGGATGCTGAGAGGGTACGCGATGTCATGCCAAGTGCACGTCATCAGGTACATGAGGCAACCCACAAGCTCTGGATACGGGCCACTCGGCTCTACGGACTTGTCCGAAGCTGGAGCTCTGAGTGAGTGGCTCGTAGGCAGAGGAGTGGGCTGTGACGAGGAGAACTGAAAGCGGAAGCGTTGAAGGACCTGCTGCACTATGTGTGACTGAGTCCGAGTGATGGTGCACGCTGCTCTGTCCTGGGTGATCTGCAAACCAAGGGAGCTCCGCCGCTCACCCATGTCAGTGCAGGTGTGTCTCTTCTACAGCTCGGCTTTCACAAGGGCTTGTGCCTCAGTCACAACAGTCGCAAAGACCAAGTCATCGACGTACATGAGGATGTTGAACGGCGACAAAGCACAGTTGGTGCGTAGAAACAGTGACGGGTCAGTAGTAGAAGGAGCGAAGCTAAGAGCCGCAACTGTTGTCCTCTGTGTGTCGTGCCACTCGCAAGATGCCTGATGGAGACCGTAGACTGGCCCCTGAAGGCTCCATTGGATACCATCAGCAAACAACCCAGTAAAGGCGGGTGGACGGCGCAGCCAGATATCATCGTGGAGGCTGACCTGTGATCGCCTCTACGTAAGAGCGCGGGGTCGGGATGTTTAGTACATCTGGGTCTCCCTCAGGGGCAAGCAGCATGGAAGCACATGAGGTACAGTAGCCGCAAGGCACTCCATCTCAATTTGTCAGTCCTCAAGGACTTCAGAGCCAAGGGCAAGCTCACCCCCGCCGGATAGAGGACAGTCAGAGTCGGAAACAAGACTCGCAAAGAGGAGGACACAGACAGCAGCAAAGTCAACTAGCTCAGTGACTAAGTCAGACGCAGCATTGGGCTCAAAAGTAGGGTTAGTGACAAGTGTGGCCAAACAACGAGTAAGATTCGAACTAACAGCAGGAGCAAGGTCAGACTCATGGTCAAGGATGCCAGGAAGAGAGGTCGAGTGAGGTAACAGCAGTACAACACGCTGTGGAACATCGGAAGGACGAAGTGTCATAGTGTGAGTGCCGAGGACTGGAGGAGGGCAAACACGGCGAGCACAAGGAGTACAAGCAAAGGGAGGACGAGACGCAGGCTCGCGACACTCAGTCAGGGAGTCTGTCAACTCAGTGTATCGAGACGGAACAGGCAATGGGGAGTCGGCAATAACAGTGTCTAAGACAGGTAAGTTGGGGGACCAGTAGAGGAGGATTAGTACCAGTGGTAGATGGCTCTGCAGAGGTAGCCGGAAGACGGAGAACCTGGTGGAGCGCCAAGCTAGGTGGTGGCAGCGAGGACTGCGGCTGCTCCCAGAAAAAAACGGTCGCCGCTGCCGTGGCTGCGCAGGACCCCCAGCTCCAGCACCTCCAGCACCTGAACCTCCAGCACCTCGAGCGACAAAGGGGTCAAAGGGGTCTGAGGAGATATCCAAAGGCAGAACTGAGGGGAGTGGGGTAACCTGAGACAAACCTGAGGGAGTTAGACGAGGGGGGGGGAGGGGGTCTACTTGGGGGGAACCCCGAACCAGGAAGAGGGGCGGAGGGGGCATGGGGAAAATGCGGTGGGGGAAGAGTCAGTAGTACCAAACCGACTCGTCAAATGTGACGTCGCAGGAGGACAAGACACGGCGAGTGGCTAGGTGGTAAAACTGCCAAACACGGTCGTCAGTGAGAAGACCAAGGAAGATGCAGCGAGTAGTGCAGAGAGAGTTTGTCCGCGGTAGGATCGCGGACAAGGGCAAGCAAACCCCAGCTCCGAAACGCAAACGCATTGCCAACCTTCCTTGTCCAAAGAAGGGCAGGGGAGGTCTGTGGCTGTGAGACACGGGCCATGGGTTAAGCTGATGCGCAGCGTATCGGACCGCAAGTGGCCACAGAAAATGGGGAGCAGCCGCATAGATCATGGAGGTGCGAGCAACCTACATGATCAAGACAATGCAGCGCTCAACAATCCTATTTTTCTGTGGAGAGGCCAAAGCGTAAATGACTGGGTGATGCCCTCCTCACTGCAAAAGTCGTCCACGAGAAGATTTGAAGCAAGCTCGCCACCACGGTCAGAGTGCAGACAGAGCACCGGGAGGTGTTTCTGGAACCGAGCGCTCAGCTGGCAACGGACAGTGCAAATCCAAGGGATCAAAACAACATGGACGTTGCCCTTATTCTCTACGGGAAACACCGTGGTGTAGCGCATGAAGTCGTGAATGACCAGGAGGAAGTAGCGCCCCCGGCGTGGCCCACTAACGGGGGCAGGGCCCCACACGTCCATGTGCAGCGTCTGCAAAGGAGCAGTGGTCGGAGGAAACGAGGAGGAGTGAGGAGCGGCCCACTTCCGTACGGCAGTGCAATCGACGGCGGGAGCGAGGGCAGGGACTGCGGGAGCCTAGACACAAGGTGATGTGACTGCATGATATGGAGACGCTGAAGGGAGGGGAAACCAAAACGGTGATGCTAGAGGAGGGACTGATGCGTG